CTATTGTGGACTTTAGCAAGAACAGAGAAGGTTTTTGTGGTTGACTGCATGTGAAAAAAGTATCACTAATCCTAGATGTTGCTGTTGCATTTGCATTTGGTAGTTGTCCAAATTACTTCTCTAATTATTTGCTATAAGGTTCCTATAGAAGAGAGCAGTATTTTGCTTCAGTAGTTCTTCTGAACTTACTTTGTATGTAGCAATGATTGAAGATCTCCCAGGAAACATGGAAAATGTGATATATGCGAAGAATGCTCACAGAGTGGATTCATTCGTTCTTTAGAAGTCTTCATTTCATTGAAATACAGAATATTTGCTAAAAAATAAATGTTTACATTAATAATTAACAGGATAGGAAACTTAGTACATTTTAATAGAGCTTGGATGTGTTTCGGACTGATTAAATCCATTTCATCCAACTTGTGCAAGTAAAGCAGGCTCTCTTTTTTGCCATTAATGATCCATTCTCCCTTTTTTTTAAATTATAATTTGTTAGAAAGCAGAAGGGGACTTAGGTCTTGCTTTTTGAGAAGCAAAACTACACTTGTGGTTTGTTTAAGGAAATAAGATGTAACCCCTTTTTATTTGATATTTAATTTTTGGACTTTTGGAGGCTACTTTCTATATTGTGCTGTAATGTTCTTTGATTAATTTACAGAGTGTATGGTTCAAATTTAGCGTTTTTCATTTAATGGTGCCTGCTAGATTTACAAATTGAGGAAAAATATATTTAGTTGGATTTCTTCCATGAAGTAACATTTCAGTTCAGCTCATGCTACACTTCCTATTTTTATAATATTTTTAAGCATGAAATATCTTTAGTGTTAAATGTTTCAGAATCCGATACCTCATTTCAATATTGCAACTTCATCAGCTTCATGAGGGCTGTGTAATTCAGTGCAGAAGAGTCTTAAAGCACTGCTTAAAATGCAAATAAGACATTGTGGAGACTACTACCTCTTAGTGAATTAAGTCTTAGTACAGGCTTTGCAGTAAAGGTTGTAGAAATGGGTTGGTTCTCCATTGGGGTACGTACCCTTTTTTCAAAGGTATTTTCAGAAAGAGCCTGCATTCAAGCTTCACGTCACAGACTAGTACAGTAAAAAGTAAAGTCTTTTGAACTTCTAAAACACTGGTAATGGTAGAAAGCTAAGCTGCAGATCTAAAATGATTCTTCAGATAAATCATAGATAATTTAAATGGCGTTTCTGTGATTATCTCTATAGCAGATGGAGCATTTTAGAGGGAAAAGAGACTCATATGGAAGTATATACAGCTGTGGTGTGAATCACATGGCTGAGCACTCCTGCAGTCACTGAGTATCTTTGAGGCTCCACGGACACATCCAAAGATTGATTGGCGAGTGTTGTGCTTCAGAGTTCAGATGCTGTACAGCCTTGGATGTTTTTTTTACTAGCTTAAGTTTGGAAGATAGACCGTTGCTTAGCCTTGTATGTGTTTCCGTCAGTGATTTTGTTTATATATGTATATAAAAAATACTTTTTTCCTACTG